AAAAAAAAAAAACAAACAAAAAAAAAACAAATAGAAATTAATTAATAATTAAACTTTAAAAGTTTAATACTTTAGGACTTGTACCAAGTATATTGTATATTTTTTAAATGTTCTGTTGTTTTTAGTGGAAAATATTAGACAGTTATTTTAAAGTTAGTTTTTGTTGAACTATGCCTATAAGGTCATGTTATGTCTGTGAATGTATTTCTTTGGCCTCCCCTGCTCAGTTTAAAGAATCAATAGTGACATGCAGATAAAAGATAAACTTGATATCATGCAAATATATGAAATCATCTTTTGAAATATTTTTATTTTCAATGCACACTTCTCTTATATATAGATATAATTGTTTTAAATAGGAAATGCACACATTTTTTAAAAAAGTGATTAGAAAATATTGACATAACATATTATTTTTAACTGAAACTCATCTTTGATATGAATATTAACAGAGTTCCTCTGAGGATTTTGATGACTCAGCTGGGGCTGCAGATCCAGGAGAAAGTACTGTCAATGAACAAGGAGAAGGTGAGAACTTAATTTTATTTAAAAAGTTACTTGCTCAATAGTTATTTTAAAACATGATTACCAATAAACTCTAGTAGCCAAGGAAAGTCACTTACAAAATGTATAATAAAAAAGAGAAGTGAAGAAAAAAGAAAGACAGAAGTGAAATGGTGATAAGTTGTACACCTTGTTAGATATGAGCAACAGATTAAATGGAGAGTGTCATCGAAGGAGCAGACCTTTTAATTCCATTTCCAGGTATTCTGTGACCTGAGGAAAGTTAGGAAATTAGGGAAAGGAAAGGAGTGAAAGAGAGGGGGCAGAATGAGCGAGGCAGAGAGTACCGAGAGGACGTGAAGGGACAAGAAGCAGGTGTCTGTGATGCAGGGTGGTCCAGTGAGATACCTCCTTAATAAAAGGAAGGTCAGGGTGTCAGCACAGTGGGAAGAACATGAGGTGAGCTTTCAGCACAGCAACATGTTGGAGAAGTAGAGTAAAATTTCTCTACTCTTCCTGTCCTACTCACGGCTGGGGCAGCACTGAGGATTGAGGTCCCTAATCATACAGAGCTGTCTACCATGGAGGAATGGGCACGTACAGGGTGAGACATACATAGATAAAATTTAGTATCATCTAAAATGATGTTATGTCAAAGGATAGTGGCATAAAGGCCTGAATAAGGGAAATAGAGTGAAGAGAGTAGGGTTAGTTATAAAGAGATGAGGCAAGCCATAGCCTGATAAAAAGTCCAAAAGAAACTTTATGATTGGCAATGCAGTTTCAAATTCAAAGATGTGAAAGGGAGGATCTTGAGACTGTATGTCAGAAAGGGAAGGTTAGGTAAGGGAATGTGGAAGCATACTCAGTATAAAGCAGAGCTTCTTGAATGGTAAGAAATCCACAGGGGACCTTGTTAAAAATGCACATTGTGACTCAACACATCTAGGGGAGCTGCACTGCTATTAAACAATCAGGTGATGCCAGTGCTGCTGGTCCCTGGACCACACACTGAGGAGCAAGGGCACAGACTTCCCTGCAGGGAAACCTGGAAGATGAGCCATGGGGTAAGGTCAAAGATCTGAGGATCAAGGGGAAGCATAATTTTGCTTCTATTTCTGAACATGTTTCTAGCTAGAGAGAAATGAGTAAAGAGAAAAAGAAATCGAAATTACAGATACAAGATATTATTGCTAAATAAAGAGGAAAGAATTGGTAGAAATTATCTGTCAAAAGAATGCTAAAGTGACAACCACAATCTCAACATGGGTTTTGTAAGAGAAGACATACTGTGAGAGGAGTAAAACAGAAAAAGAAAGAAATCAGTTAGGTAATTTTTCAGGTAATGATAAGAAACTTGAGAGAAATTATTGTGATCATGTCAAATATACTTCAGTGTTTCTGCACCCATGTGGAAAATTAGATTATTGCCTGCCTAGACATTACTGGAAGAAAAAAGAGCTAAAATTGGGGCAATTTTAGCATTTTTCCTCTCCATTATTTACAGGTATGTGTTTTTCCATTTTGATAAACATTTAAATACTGACAGCCTAGCAAACATTATTTCTTAGGTGTATATTACATATGTTCTTGAATGAGTGGGTGAAGAAACTTTAATATGGCTAAACTACAGGATACAAAATTGTAGGAATTCCAGTTGCTCAAGCAGGTATAGAAAAAAATGGGAATTTTTATTAACTTAATAATCTACAAGTATGTGTGCAAACAGATGGATTCAGACCTTTCTTTCCTAATAAATTGATTACACATTCACCAGAACTGTCTTCACAAATGTGTACATCCAAAATTAGAGGACTAACTGAAAAAAAAAAATGACAAATATTGTAGTATAACTGTAAACTGATTCTGATGTGTCACTTTAAAGATATGCTATAGCATTCTGCCAATGGCTGTAATATTTATCCTCTCAGAGTCATGATTTTCTTCTCAGAATGAGGAACACTGTACTCCTCATCAGTCAGCATCTGCAAATTGAAGGAGGTGCACATTTCTCTTTTAGTTACTATAATTATTTGGAACACAATCTCAATTTGGAAATCATAACTACATGTTTTAGAACACCAAAATTCCTATTTTTCCTTCATGTTGCTCTCTTATTTTCAAAACAACAAAATCACTTTAAAAGTGAAGCGTGAGGATTTACCTTGAGACTCACACACCATCAATACAGGTTTGAGTTTGTCATATTGATGTTTATATAGTCATTAACATCAATTCGTATCTCTTTTGCTTTTTGAGGGTCTCCTGGAAAACATCCTCCCTTGAAGGTAATAACATTTCTCTTTTTGTCTTAAATTATTCACTGCATATTGTGTGAAATACACATGATTTGTGAAATATTTTATTTCCAAGACCACCCAGCCAACCATTGAGATGAAAGGATCCATTCCAGAGAAGGCAGTAAGAATATACACATACACATCAGGTGATTTTCATTTTTTTTTTTTTTTTTACAGATAGGATCCTGCTCTTTTACCCAAGCTGAAGTGCAGTTGTATGACCACAGCTCAGTGCAACTATGAAGTCCTGTCCCCAAATGATTATCCTCCCTCAGCATGCTGAGTAGTTGAGAGTCAGTACAGGCTCTTGCCACCAAACCAAGCTAATTTTTATTTATTTTCTTTAGTGACCTGGTCTCACTATGTTTGTAAGGATGATAACAAACTCCTGAACTCAAGGGGATTGTTCCCTACTGACTCCCATAGTGCTGGTATTGTAGGCCTGAGTCAGGGTGATGGGCTCCAATCAGTTAAATTTTTCAATAAAAAATTTAGTCTGGAAATAATTATATTTAAATAGTTGAAATGATCTTTTCATTCTTGAAGAGGTTTGGGGTCACCAGATGAGGGGGTCTTGGCATGAGGAATGAAGAGGCTTGATTTAAAGTCTGTGTCTGGGGACTGAGAATCTCTGGGACAAGCCCCCCTGAGCTAACCTTGGGTCTATATTTATTATCACAAAGCAGGAAAAAGTAGTTAAAAGTTATTTATCAGACATCAGCACTAAAAAGGGGGAACATTGAAAGTGTCAAACAGAATTTCTTCAATTTGTTTTTGCAAAACCTCAGACCTTAAGCAAGACCTCTGCCTCTAGTGTAAGGTGACCAGACGTCCTACTTTTTAACAATTTGTCCCACATCCAGCAGCATTTTTAAAAAGTCCCAATTTTTGGAAAGAATGCACGGCTCGGCGCCTACAGCTCAACCGGCTAAGGCTCCAGCCACGTACACCTAAGGTAGTGGGTTCGAATCCCCAGCCCGGACCCGCCAAACAACAATGACGGCTGCAACCAAAAAATAGCCAGGCGTTGTGGCCGAAGCCTGTGGTCCCAGCTACTTGGGAGGCGGAGGCAGGAGACTCGCTTGAGCCCAGGAGTTGGAGGTTGCTGTGAGCTGTGATGCCTTGGCACTCTACCCAGGGGGACAGCTTGAGGCTCTGTCTCAAAAAAAAAAAAAAAAAAAAAGAAAGAATGCACAACAAGCTAGGGAATGGTGGGACAATGGGAAGGGAATATACTGCTGCTGAAAAGGTTAATGTAACTCCATTTGGGAATGAAGAGGTTAATGTAACTTCAATTGGAAATGGAAAGGCTAATGTAAACTCCCTACTCCCCTCCTGGGCAAGGTCACCCAGGTGGACTGGTATTCTACTCCTTTGAGCCACAGGCTCCACCCTATACATAATTTTTTTTAATGTATTATATTTGTAAATTGTACTTATGTTGAAAATAAAAAATATATATATTATAATACTATTTTTGTGTTCTATGAAAATTTTTGTTGCTCCAAATAGACCAAATTTTTAATTAAAAACACACCCCACCCACACCCCCATCAATGGTGTCCCGCTTTACCAATGTTAAAATCTGGTCACCTTACTCTAGTGTCAAGAGACCTTTGGAATTCAGACAATCTTTACCATAACCATTAGGCCTGGCATTGCCATACCTCACATACACATTCTCCCTTGGAAGCCTGTTTTCTTATCTCCTGCGTGTACACAACTCACATCTTGTGGTTCTCCAGCTCTCTCAAGCAGAAAGTGAGTCTTATGCTAAAGATCAGAGCTCAGTTTCCCCTACATATCCCGCTATTTTGTTATTCTAACATCATTGAGTGAACATAAGCAAATATTTTGTCTGTTTCTTCTGTCTTTGGGTCAGATGACACATGTATCGTCTGAAAGTGATGATGATGAAGAGGAAGATCAGAAGAGTACCAAAAACCCACATTCATAAATTTAATCCTGAAAACCAATGAGAAGGACATAACCATTGAGAATCTTTCTGTAAAGTGTCAAAAACAGAGTATTGGCTGGCCTTTTGGATGCTTGCTCATGTAGCTGGCTGGATAAGTCAGCTGTATCTTGAGCCATAGTGTCATCCAAGGCACTATGTAAGTGATTCTTGACTTGTTTCCACGGATAAAGGGAACTGTTGTAAGGAACTGTTGTAACGTAAATGTGGGTGCTATTAAAGTCACACCGAAAAGCAGTCCTTCTTTGTAAAGTTTGTTGTTTATTACCAAGTAATTCAACAGCAGCCTTGAGGGCATCAAGTCTTTGCATAACTTGATTGTCAATCTTAGCTAGTTTTATGAACTCTTGTGTGTTGTTAACCATCATAGTATCAACAAAATGAGCAGTTTGAACAGATTCAGCTAAGGCAGCGACAGCCACTGATGCAAAAGCAGGTAAAACAATAACAAACTGGGAAAGCAATAAGGCTCACAAGGAACCGTTTTGGTCTTCTTTTAATACACCAATTAAAATATGTAAAGTGGAATCTGCTTGCCAGGGTCATTTATAAGATAAACTGGAAACCAGGCATCCACTTTTCATAATTACAATGGTGATGTTCAAACTAGCAACATTGTGATGGGAAAAGCAAGTACTTAACCAAGCAGTAGAGAATGAGAGGGTAGAAGAATAAATTATGTTATGAAATGAAAAAGAAGGAGCTAATAAGAATACATATGGGCCAGTAGTACATACAAGGTTTTTGTCAGACAAAGAAGATGTTAAATTTACTGTAAACATGCCCATAGCACTGGTACAGATAATACCATATTTTAAAATTTGGGGTATAAAGGGGGAGGGTAACTCACTAGAGTTTAGAATAACAAGTGGAACATTAATCATTCTGACAAGTTTTGAAGAACAGGACCTGAAAGGGACATGTTGTTCCAGACAGGTTTATTTTGCAAAATTCAATGGCTTACCTCTTGCAGTTAAATGACCATGTGTCCCCACTTAAGTAGGCAGACTTGTTGGGTGAGATTAACCCTGTGATACTGTTGTTGTGTTATACAGGGCAAGGGTCCCAACAAGTGTTATTAGGAGTAGAGGAGGAGTAAAGTTGAGGCATAACCATAGCATAGGGTTGAAATGAGTGGAGGGAAAAACAAGTAGAAGTTTTATCAATAAAGAGAGAGACACTGGGGTAATAAAGCTAGTCAGTCTGGTTCAGCAAGGATCACCCTAGGAGGATAAAAAGACCTCTTGTCTGAGTTGCACTGTAACTGGAAATGGGGGATTCAGAATCTCCCCCAAATACAGGCTGGACTAAAGGTGGTTCTATTAAGTGAGCCCAATAAATGTGTTCTGTTTTAGTGGTAGGGAAAAACACAAGAAAAAGGAAAAGGACATTTTGACAGAGTTCTGAGTTACCACAGTGAGGTAAGGCAAGAACTTGTTCACAGGGGTAGGAGGACTGCCAACCTGTCTCATAAGACAGTTGGCATCTTGAAATAATTTCTTAAGTGACCCCCCCATGTCACCGGGGTGCCCCTTGTCTTTGGGGCAGGAGTACTTGCAGATTCTGCTGAAGACTCATCCATTGAAAGAGATCCTGGATTGGCTGTGGGTTGAAGTGCTCTTTCCAGTTTGTGTTTGGTCCTTTTCCTTGGGAATTACGCAGGTCCTGTTGGTGCAGACACATATACATACCCTCTCCACCATGTTAAGACCAAATACAGTCCTTCCTGTTGAGTCAAATCTAAGGATCCAGAAACACTTGCTGATCCTTTCACCATGTTGGATTGAGGCATTTTGAAAATGCTGTTGAAATGCAGAAAAGTTATCAGTTCCAATTTAAAAGATTGATAGTTATAAGGGCTTTGTTCATAACATCTTTGGGGTGAGTAATACAGGGTCATATCCCCTTTTTTTGTTTGTTTGTTTGTTTTGTTAAGGTGCAATTAGCACATTTGACAATGGCTTGTTTTGTTGGGTTGTAGAGTATTTTTGTAATGTGTTGAATTTGTTAATTAAGAAGGAAGTTTTAAAAAGTATTACTGGTATAAAACAAGCCACTGTCTGTTTTTAGATAATTTGAATTGATATGTTAATGTTTTAGCATCTTAATGATGAAAAGCATGGGAGACTGAAGTCTGTTGTATTGGCACAGTAAATATTTCTTTTTGAGAAACTAGTGTATCAACTTCCTCATTATCTAAGGCTAGAGGGCCTAGTAGTTTAGTATTTAAGAGAACCTGTCAATTTTTTCATTATCTTTTTTGGTTTGTTTGTTTTTGCTTTTTAGGGGACAGAGTCTCAAACTGTTGCTCTGGGTAGAATGCCATGGAGTCATAGCTCACAGCAACCTCTAACTCTTGGGCTCAAGCAATTCTCTTGCCTCGGTTTTTCTACTTTTAATAGAGACAGGGTCTCGCTTTTGCTCATACTGGTCTCAAATTCATGAACTCAAGCAATCCACCTGCCTCAGCCTCTCAAAGTACTAGAATTATAGGCATAAGCCACCACACCCTGCCCATTATATAATTTTTTTGTTTCTTTGGCATTCTATGACTAAAATATATCCATACTGACAAAAAAATCTAGCTTAATAAATCAATTAATTAGAAAGTGGGTCTGGCTGTGTTTGCCAGGTTGAGGTACAGTGGCTACAACCAGAGATACGTGAAAACTTGAAATTCTAGGCTGTAGTGATCTTTCTGTGAAGCTCAGCCACTTGAGTACCTGTGACTACTGTCAGACACCTCCATGCCACACTAATTTTTTCTTATTCTTTGTATAGGTGGGGTATTGCTATGTTGCCAAGGCTTATCTCCCCCTGGCTGCAAATGCCATGCCTGCCTTGGCCCTCCACATATGCCAGGAGATGTATGAGCCCCCATGATTCTTTATCATTTGTGATAAAGAATTCAATATTCAGAGCTTAGCATACATTAGTTTTATATATGTTTTACATATGTCCTTATATAAGAAGATGAAGAAATTTCAAGATGGCTAAACGAGAACATACAAAATGTAGGCATACCAGTACTCCACTTTAGTATTATTAACTAACAGTGTGGTTGTGTATGTCATAATTGCTGTAGTTAGGCTGCTTTCTTTCATTATTAATTGATTATACATTCACCTGAGCTGTCTTTATAAAT